TTTGTCTTTTAAGTTGTGCTGACCAGGTCTGTTGCTGGACCACGACAAGTGCATGCCTGGATCGCAGCCAGGCACCCGGTCTACTGTCTGCTGCGAAGTCAGGAAGCATGCACCTTATGGCGATCTTTCCAAAGCTTGGGCTCGAAGCTTCTGCTGCTCCCAACCATGGGGTCTTCAGAGGACCCAGTCGTGTGAGTGACTTTTCTGTCTTTCTGAGCCGGTGTGCTGGCCTGCCAGGAGCCTGAGACTCCCTTTCCTGGCGAGGCTACAGAAGGGATCTCTGTGTGTGTGTGTGTGTGAAGTTTTCGTGTCTTCCTTTTGTTTGGGCAGGAGGAGACTCCTTTCCTGCAGCAAGCTGTGCAGGAGTTCGTGTGTTGCAAACCAATCGTGCGATTTTTTTCAAGGGTGTTGCCTGGAGGAGCCTCTCGCCGAGGAGGAGCCACCAGTCCACATCCCCGAGCCTCCTGCCTTTGGCTCAGCTTTAAGCCTAAACCCCTAAACCCTGAACCCTAAACCCTAAACCTGGAACCAGGTGCCTTCTGGGCCACTTTTCGGGCAAGTTCCCTTGGAGGACTGGTCGTTCGTTTCGTCACCGCCTCCGGAGGCAAGGAGCCTTAAAACCGAAACCCTAAANNGTGCCAGACTGGGGGGAGGACCCGTGCTAGAATAAACTCAAAACCCTAAACCCTAAAACCTAAACCCTAAGCAGTTGTCAGGAAGTCGAAGAAGCAGAAGCTTCAGAAGCAGCCAGGGACCAAGATTTCTCGTTCTGCTTGAGGCACCGGCCCCTAAACCCTTCCCCCAACCCTAAACCCCAAGCTCAAAACCTTAAACCCTAAACCTTAAACCCTCAGGTACAGCAGCCGCCGTCGCCAAAGCCAAAGAAGGCCTGAGACTTGAGGTTGTTTTCCTTCAGTGCCTGTGGAGACCTGGTCAGGTTGTCTTGAAGCCTCGAGCCTGGAACCCAAAGTTTCTTTAGTTCCTGCCAATGATGACTCGGGCTTTCTGTCAGGAGCCAGATTACCCNNCAGGTCCAAGTGAAAAAGATGCCCCAGCCGCAGAAGTTCTACGAGATAAGCCTCAGTGGCTCCGACGAGGAGGCTGCAAGTTGTTCTGTGCCATCAGCCCTTAACGATTTTCTTCAGCAGCACCGAGGAAGAGGATGAGCCTGCTGGGAGCACCGGGGCTTGTGGGAGCAAGGAGGCCTCGTGCTCGAACAGCCTTCGGCAAGCAGGGGCACCAGTCTCTTTTGCCTAGGCAGCTCAGGAGCTGCAGTCACACTCTAGGCCTCAGCTTAAGCATGTGCTTGTTCAGGATCCCAAGAAGGTCGTGAAGACGAAGAAGATGCCTCGGCCGAAGAAGGAGACTTGGACACCCCTTCCAGGCCACTCCAAGGCTTCCCGGCGAGTTTCCGAGACTTGCCTGGCAGCAGCTCTTTTAAAGTTTGACTCTTTGTGATGTCAGGAAGACA